CCTTGCAGTGCAGGGCCTCTGTCTCACCTTGCAGTGCAGGGCCTCTGACTCACCTTGCAGTGCAGGGCCTCTGTCTCACCTTGTAGTGCAGGGCCTCTGACTCACCTTGCAGTGCAGGGCTGGCCTTAAGCTGATCCACCTGCCTCAGCTTCCAGTGTTGTGGGGTCCAGGTGTGGGCTGGCTTGCCTGGCTCTGGCCACATGCTTCACCACACGCTTCTTGAATGCTGTAATTTCTTTCTCTGGGCTGAGAATCTTACAACATTGCTTCCAGATGACAGGACTGTGATGGCTTTTGCTGGGTCCCTTCTGGGTCCAGGGTGCCAGCTCATGGTTCTGTAGTGTTTGTGGAGTACAAAGAGAGTTGAGTGGAACCATGCAATAGCTGTGTCAGGAAGCCTTGGCGTTCTTGGCCTGCACCCATCATCCGGGACCTGCTGATCTCAGCCTTTCTGGGTAGAGAGCTTGGTGTCTGGTGTGTTACAGAAACTGAGGATGAAAACTGAAGAGGAGAACCGGGTTCACGCAGAGATTGAAATGTTCCTTAAAAACCAGCAGCAGGTGAGTCGCCCAGGCATTGACTCCTCTATTGTGTTTGTTTGTTTGTTTTGGTTTTTCAAGACAGGGTTTCTCTCTATATCCCTGGCTGTCCTGGAACTCACTGTATTGTAAAAACCCACTTATGACCCACTTACAGCACTGTAGAGACGGCACAGAGGTTAAGAGTGCTGGCTGCTCTTGCAGAGGACCTGGGTTCAGTTACCAGCACCCACATGGGAGCTCACAGTTGTAACTCCAGGCACAGGGGACTCAGGGTCTTCTTCTTGCCTCCAAAGGCACTGGGTGTACATGGTGCACATACACACATACAGGCAAACACTCGTACACATAGAATAAGATAAAGAGATCTTTAAAAAAAAATCCACTTATACAATTGTAAAGAAAGCGATTTTTTTGTATTTAAGGACAGTGGTGTCTCATGATGTCATCTGGCTAGCCCTTAGTTCAGGAGGTAGACCAGGATTCAATATCTATGCCTCCCAAGTGCTGGGACTAAAGGCAGATGCCACTGAACTTAGCTGCAATTTTTTAAAAAAATCTTCTAGTGGGCTAACGAGATGGTTCAGCAGATAAAATGTTTGCTGTGTAAGCATGGGACCTGAGATTGACCTAAACACTCACAAAAAAGCCAGGCTTGGGATTACACATGTAATCCCAGCTTCAGCGTGCTGGTGGAGATGGCAGATGTCTGAGGCTTACAGGCTGGCTCATGATAATGAGTGATCTTGCCTCAAAAAACACAGTGGGGTGGGGCTGGAGAGATGGCTCAGTGGTTAAGAGCACTGACTGCTCTTCTGGAAGTCCTGAGTTCAATTCCCAGCAACCACATGGTGGCTCTCAACCATCTGTAATGATCTGATGCCCTCTTCTGGTGTGTCTGAAGACAGCTACAGTGTACTTACATATAATAAATAAATAAAACCTTTGGGCTGGAGTGAGCAGGGCCAGAGCAAGTGGGAGAAGGGAATTGCCCTTCTGCCATTAGTGATGTGTCCAGACAGGAATTTCAAGGCGTTTCTCTTCTCTGCATTGGTGTGTGTGCTTGTATGTATTTGTGTGTGTATCTGTGTATGATGTGTGTGTGCCACAGCATAAGTGTGGGCTCAGAGCATGACTTTTTGACGTTGGTTCTCTTCCTCCACCTTTCTGTGGCATCTGGGAATGGACAGCAGGTAGCTAGGCTCCATAGACAGTGCTTTGGTCTGCTGAGCCATCTTTCTGGTCCCATTTTTAATTTTTGCATTTTAAAGTTTTCATAATAGCAGTTCTATGTTCCATAATACCCCACGGTTGGACCATGAGTAAATGTGGGTGGCACTCGGGACGCTTCCAGCTTTGCCACATCAGTGCCCGTGCTCAGACCTCCCTATAGGCACAGGGCATATGGAAAAATGTCTTCAGTTTTGTATGTCGACTTGGATTCCTCAGAATGTCCCGTGTTAGCTCTGTCTTCAGATGGTTTGTTTGAGCTTCTGAGATAGGCAGTTTTATTGGCCGGAAAGAGCTACTTTTTTCTTATATCATTTGCATGTCTTAGCGCTAACTCCAGTCAAATAGTGTAATGCTGATAAGCACTAAAGATAAAGGGTCCTGCTTACTTCCCTCTCCTTCTCACCTCACCTCTCTCTCCTCACCTCTTGCCCCTCCCTTCCTTCTTTCCCTTTTGTTTGTTTCTTTCTTTCTTTTTCTTTTTTTGGTAAGACGTAATCTCATGTGCCCAGGCTGGCCTCAAACTCCTGATCCGTCTGTCTCTATCTCTTGAGTGCTAGGATTAGAAATGTGAGCAAATGTGCCGGGCTTGGGTATTGTTTGAGAAGGGCATCACTGTGCAGCCCTTGCTGGCCTGGAATCCATAGAGATCCGCCTGCCTCTGTCTCCTGAGTGCTTGAGATGGGATGCATGTGCCATCACACATAGCTGTAAGGTACGGATTTTTTTTCTAATTCTTGGCTTTAATGGTGTTTGGACGGGATTACACACAGACAGAGAGTTCTCTTATGTAAGTTAGACCATTTTCTGGAAGAATATGACAACTGAATCTGGGATTTTTTAAAAATTTTTTGATTTTATTTATTTATTTTTATTTTATTTTATTTTTTTGCAGAGATGCATCTAGCATCTAGGATCATGGACTTTATTATTATTATTTTTAGGTTTTTCAAAACAGGGTTTCTCTGTGTAGCCCTGGCTGTCCTGGAACTCACTCTGTAGACCAGGCTGGCCTTGAACTCAGAAATCCACCTGCCTCTGCCTCTCAAGCACTGGGATTAAAGGCATGTGCCACCACTCCCCAGTGAATCTGGGCTTTTATTTGATTAATCTGGGCTTTTACCTGATTGTCTTAGGTAAAGTGGACAGGTTTGGGCCCACTTGTTTTAAGGCCCTCTGACTGGTGGAAATACTCTGCTCTCCTGTGTGTGAGAGCAGCCTTTCTTTGCAAGAAATCCTACAATATCTTCATCTAGGAAACTGCTTGGAAAGGGGACGCCCTATCTCAGATGCCGCACCGTTACCCTGCATCCACAAGCAGGGTAAAGTCTCAGCATGTTGCAGCTGTACATAAAGCTCAAACAACTAGTCAGGGAAATGGTTTTTTAGTGCACACTGGCGGAAAGCTGAGGAGCTTGTTGAAGCACATGGCTGTTAGCTAGACAGACTAGGATGCAAGGCTTGCAGGGCTGCATGTGGGACACAGGCATGCAGGCTGAACATGAGGGATTTCTTGTGCGTCTGGAGGTGAGGCCGAGAGCTTGCTTGACTAGACCTAGTAGTTACCTCCATTTGATGAGGTGGAGGTACCAGGGCTTCCTTCCTGTGATATGGGGGTGAGAATGCAAAGCCTTGGGGACAGCTATGTTGGGGTGAATCTATTCACTGACTACCAAACACATCCTAACCAGAATATGACCAGCAGACACACCAGTCTGAGGACACTGAAGAGCACATGAGTACAGGACATCTCTGTGCTGTATAAAGAGTTTGTATGCCCCACAGGAGAGGTGTGGATGACCCCTATTTCCAACCAAGGGGACCTGCTTGGTCTTAGAGTGACCAGGCATTGAACTCAGTGATCCCTTAGGACCTGCTGGAACTTAGCGTCCTCATTCTTTGTGCTGCTCTCAAGATGTCCAAGGGCAGCAACTGCTTCCTTAATGAGACGGGAGAGCCCCTGGGAAGAGCAAAGCCTTTGGACTTTGGAAGTCTCTCTAGGATCCTTGTGAGGCCCTCAGGATCATGGCAGTTTGTGAGGGAGTCAGGCCTTTCTTGGCCAGGTGGTAAAGCTGCTTCTTCAGGTCATTGAGTATCAGCTTCAGCTAGGAAGCACACTATGGCAACCTGGCAGAGGCACCGGAACAAGCCCTTCACTGAAGGATATCCATGCTGGTGGTAGTCAGGCAGCAGAGTGAGCTGGCGGAGAGCGGCAAGAAGCTTCTCTGTACTCTAGTTGCTTTCCTATGTGGGCCAGGTGTGACCTCAGGGGCCATCCTTGAGGTGGGCCCTGATTTCCGTAGGGATGGTGCAGTCCTGAAAAACCCCTTAGTGACTGGCAACCAAGACAAGGTGGTCGTAAAGGTAGAGGACACACGGAAAGCAGACTCTGTGTGCTCACAGGGAGGGTACCTTTAGGAACAAAACTGATTTGACAGCTAGCTTCAGGCAAAACAGTAAGACAGTCCAGGTCTGGCAGAAATCTGGTTTGAAGACCACAGTGGAAACTCTGAGTCTCTCACCCACTTTCTGGAACAAGGTCAACGTAACAGACCCAGGGCCCTTTTATTCTACGGTGTTGGGGCCCCTCTTACGGTGAATCTTGCAGCATTACTGCACACATATATTGTAAGTCTTCCTCTACGTTTTAGCCAGGAGACATGGGGTCCAGAGTAACTCAGACGCTGGCCTCTTGAGATGACTAAGCATTAGCTCTGAGTTGACAGAGATTCATGGAGACACGTGGAGCAAACCTGCTGCCCCTGGTCACCGTGGGGATTGAGGTAGTCAGATGGCAAATGGAATCTTAACTTTAGTCTCTGCTGCTGTGGACTTGTATGTTCTATGGAGCTGAACTGTGGCTACTTCCCAAAGTACTGAATATATACAGTGGAGAAGACATCCTTGGGACAGTTACAAATGCAGGAGCACCTGGAACTTCCCAACTCCACTGAAAAGTAAACCACAGGTTTGCGGTGCCCCTGACAAAACTGCAGGGGTAAGCGCCACCATCCAATGCCTGACTGAAGCACAGCACCTTAGACTTGCTGTGGTCTGTGCAGAAGCTGACTGGCTCTTGCAGACTCACTGGGGACTTTTGTAACTCCAGCTGCTGCTACTGTTCATAGCCTTTGCTGACACACATCTGCAGTACAGCTGCTAATCTCTAAACCGATCTTTTTTTTTTTTTTTTTTTTTTGGTTTTTCAAGACAGGGTTTCTCTGTGTAGTCCTGGCTGTCCTGGAACTCACTCTGTAGACCAGGCTGGCCTCGAACTCAGAAATCCACCTGCCTTTGCCTCCCAAGTGCTGGGATTAAAGGCGTGTACCACCACTGCCCTGCTCTCTAAACCAATCTTAAAGCTCCTACCTGAAACAGCTTGCTTCACCAGCAGGGCCACGTGTGCCTTCTTCTTCTTACATGGGGGCTTCTGCTTCTCCAGCTGTCATGTCATGGTCTACAGAGACATCTGCTTTGACACTCCAAATCAGATCTCCTGATGCATTAATGACACCATGCTGCTATGCAAGTATGGTCAACGACATTTGCTAAGATATGTGTGAGTTAGAGGGTGGGCCCAGCTTCACTCCCAGTGCCAACTGTGTGTGACTGTGATCCACTCAAATAACACAAACCACCCCATCAATTTAAATGAATTTAACAAAAGAACCACGAGCTATTAATATGGGACAGATTACCAAGAAGAGATAAAGAGAGCTCTGAAGACTAGCCCAGGGCACAGGGCTGGCTGCCAGGATCCAAGAAAGGAAGTAGGGAGGTAGAAGAACAGGCAGATCTTTCCCATGACTGAGATTCAGGCTCATTAGAGAACGTGTGTGTGGTTTCCTGGACGCCAAGAGGTGCTTTTTTTTTTTTTTTTTTTTAAGATATGGTTCTTACTGTGTAGCTCAAGGTGTTCTCCAACTCATCTTGATCCTCCTGCCTGTCGTCATCATCTTCTTCTTCCTCTTCTCCTCCTCCTCTTTCTCCTTCTTCTTCCTTCTCTCTTCTTCCCTTCTTCTGTCCTTTCTCTTCCTTCCTCTCTCCTTCCCTCCCTCTTCTTTCTTCTATCAGATGACTACTCAGTTGTAGAAGATGGACTGTTTTTACTCATTTTCTTCTTCCTTTTTAATATGTTGAAGTAAAACACTGTAGATTTGCTGCTGTGTCCTTTACATTCTTGGAGTTAACCTTACCTGGTCAATGCTGCGGTTGTCCTTTAAATGTGTTGGTCAATGAATGCCACTAGGTGTCACTCAGCACTAGCAATGTGACCTGGGAACCAGAGCACAGCGAGCCTCCAGGAGACTTCCTGTTGCTTCCTCTAGCGCCCTCTGCTAACGAAGCTTAGTATTTTGCTAGGTGGCCAGGCCATGCAGAATCAACTTGGAGCGGAGAGGCAGTAGTTGGTAGCTGACTCAAATGGGGAGGTGTACTCTGTAGATCACTGCTGTACACATTTTATTCTGTGAAGGAGTTTCTTGTTGAAGTTTTTTTTTTTTTTTTTGGGGCTTCTCAGACACATTTATTAATGCCACATTGTAAATAGTACTAGGTGTGTGGACAGCGATGTTCCGTGTTCCCATCTAACACAGCTGGCTTCAGTTCAGCTGACGTGTTCATCTTGAGTGGACTCAGGGAGCAGTCAGTGATGGCCATGGGCAGGTGCAGGACTGGAGCCTTTCAGAGCTTTACTCCTCTTATCAGCACTCCTGATTTTATAAACGATGAGGCTCATTAACCCCACTCCTACCCAAATTTCCTGGTAAACCTGGGTATAGTAGGGTTTCATGGGGACCCAGACTTTCTTAATTAACGTTTGAAGCATCTCGGCAGAACCAAGGCCACAGGCAACACCAAATTCTGCAACAGAATGGAAAGGTCACAGAGCACGCGGGGCCTCGAAGTTTTTTTTTTTTAAAGCCAGTGACTACCCATTTATATTTAAATACTCTTGGTGGTGGTGGTGGGAGAGCAGTATCTCTACATATCCCTGGCTGACCTGGAACTCACTATGGAGATAAAGCTGGCCCCAAACTCAAAGAATTTAGAGTGACCTTCTAAGTGCCAGGGTAAAGGTGTGTCACCACACCTGGCTGAGGTGCGTTATTTCCATCCATCAATATGATTTTTTTTGATGATGCAGTTTTCTCCTTTAATATGTTCATAAAGTAAAATACTCTTATGTGTCTTAAGTTTATTAACTTATTTGTTTGTTCATGTGGATCGGCCACATGGAAGCCAGTGGAGTGTGTCAGATCCCAGGGGACTAGGGTTACAGGTGGTTGTGACCTGCTCAAACTCAGGCCCTCTGTAAGACCAGGACAGGCTCCTAACCATTGCACCCCTCCTGTCTCTGTAGAGTTATACACTGTACTAAGCTATCCACTAATGTTGGTCATCTTTCACTTCCTAGGATAAAGTCTACCTGGGGATGGTGTGGTGCTAACAAACCACTAGGGTTGACGTACTTTGATTTTTTTATCTCTTTGTTTTCTGTGGCTATTTTGTTGTATTGTTTCCAGAGTTTGCTGGCTTGGCTGCATGTCTTGAAAACTTTTCCATTTTCCTATGATCTGAAACCCAAAATAGAAGTAGAATAAAACTGTATGTGTTGTTTGAAGTATAGTAAAATCCAAGCCGTCATGACTAGGTATCTCTCTCTCCTGTCTTTGTGTTTGCAGGGGGTGTCATATTTATTTATTTTCTGGGGTGTCATATTTAAAAGGAAGCACTGGGCTGCTTAGAATGATATCCAGCTCTTCATTTACCAGATCTTTCCAAGTCATGTTTTGTAACATGTTTTTGTAGGAAAGATTCCATCTTGTTTCAGTTCTTTAGAGACAAGGTCTCCTGCTTTTGCCCTCAGTGCTAGGTTACAGGCATGCACCACCATACCTACTCTTATCAGTCTTACTCTAGAATGCTCTTGGAGGTTAGGAGTTACTGATTTCTGGTTTTCTTTTCTTTTTTTTTTTTTTAAATTTTATTTATTTATTATATGTAAATACACTGTAGCTGTCTTTAGACACCCCACAAGAGGGTATCAGATATCATTACAGATGGTTGTGAGCCACCATGTGGTTGCTGGGATTTGAACTCATGACCTCTGGAAGAGCAGTCAGTGCTCTTAACCACTGAGCCATCTCACCAGCCCGATTTCTGGTTTTCATTAGTAGCCGTTGAGACTTATTTTTGAATTATGTATGTGTCTATGTGTGGGTGTGTGGGCATAAGCGCAGGTACCCCAGAGGTCAGAAGATGGCTTTGGACTCCTAGAGCTGGGGTTACAGTCTGCTGAACCTGTAAAGACATGGGTGTTGGGAACTCAGACAGGTCCTCTGGAAAAGGACAACAGTGCCATCTCTTGAACTTAATGTCAACCTTTAAATTTTTTGTTGTTGTTTTGTTTTTTCAAGACAGGGTTTCTCTGTGTATCCCTCACGCTGTAGACCAAGCTGGCCTTGAACTCATGGATCTGCCTGCCTCTACCTCCCGAGTGCTGGGATTAAAGGCATGCACCACTGTTTAGGTACTATTTTAAAAAGGCTATTTCTTGGGCCAACTATCTAAGCGGCGGCAGTTCTGCTTAGCTCTGCTGCCATGTTCAGCGGCCAGAGGCCACGCGCTCACGCCACAGCTAGAAACAGTCAAAGGCCACACACATGCCACAGCTAAAAATGGCTAGCCAGAAACACCAGCCCTGGCACCCATGAAACGCCAGCGTGGGAGATGGCTCTGCCAATCTTCCACGATGTCTCCACAAGGCTGGGCTGAGCCCAGACCACCCCACTATCCACGTGGTACCCGGTAGAAATGCGACTCTAATGCTTAAAGATTATCCAAAGGCTTTATATGTTTGGTAATGCTCAATTAACAAGATGCCCACACAATTAGAGGTGTGTCCCAATATCTAACTTTATGATATAAGTTGTTACCCAGGACTGCTCTCAATACATGCATGTTCCTCCTCCATGGCTCTCACATCTCTGCTTCTTCCTAGCTCCTCCTCTTCCTCTCTTCTTCCACTCCTTACTCCTCCCACATTAGCTTCTCCCAAATAACTGAGTTTATGGTAAATGTTGGGGGGGGCCGGGGGGATATCCTGCTACACACCACCACCTATCCTGTTGCAATTTTTAAATTTTTTATACATGCCTAGGTTTTACTGTCTCTCTCTTAGGTCTAGAATTAATCATTCTGCATAGTCTGTTGCTTTTATTAAAACTTTTTTATTTACCATCCCCCTTTCCACTATTCTGTGTTGAAATCAATTTTATATAAATGTCAGTCATTAGCCTAGCACTATTACACTGCACTGTGCTGTGTGTGGAGACTGTTGCATCTCCGCTTTACAACCACTGGCTGAGAGAGCTAGAGGTCTAAAGAAGTCAAGTAATCTTGAGTGCGAGACTGGAACCTTGGTGATCTGCCTCAGAGCCCGGGCTCCTCCCATTGGACCTGATGCCTCCTGAGGGACTGTCATGAGAATCACACTTTACTGGTATTTTCTTTGTTACACATCTTTCATTTTCCCTGCAAAAGGACATTTTTTTGTTTTGTTTTGTTTTTTTCGAGACAGGGTTTCTCTGTGTAGCCCTGGCTGTCCTAGAACTCACTCTGTAGACCAGGCTGGCCTTGAACTCAGAAATCCGCCTGCCTCTGCCTCCCAAGTGCTGGGATTACAGGTGTATGCCACCACTGCCCGGCTTTTTTTTTTTTTTTGCAAAAGGACATTTTCAAGTAAGGTTCACAGACTGAATCTCATTATCTTTCCCTCATATTTAAAACTTTGGCTGGCATCTTAGATTCATATCTATTTTCACTTAGAAATTTAAAGACTCCTCTCCCCTCAGTCAAAGTGTCTTATATCCCAGGCTGGACTAGAACTTGCTATGTAGCTAACAATGGCCTTGAACTTCTGATCCTCCTGCCTTTACTTTGAGGACAGGTGTGGGCAGCCATGTCTAGTTTTGTGTGGTGCGGACTGTCAAACCCAGGGCTTCATGCATGCTAGCCCAGCATCCCAGCACAGCTATCCCCGGCCCACATTTCAGTCTTTTTTGATGAGTGTTCAGTATTGTTAATTAAAAAAAAAAAGAGGGCAGATGATGTCATTGCTTATATTTCAGAATTTTCTACTTGTTTCTCTGCAGCTTCCCCACCGCGGCACCTGAAAGCCACCTCTCCCCATCCCCAATTTTTATCTTGGTTTTCAGTGTTGATTCACTTCTGAAGTGTGTGAGCATTTGTTTTGGTTACCTTGTTTCGCAGTTTGCTTTGTTTTACTTGGGTTTTCTGGTTGTCAAACCCAAGGCCACACGCGATGCACCTTCCTCCTCCACACTGGCCACAACTTCCTCCTGCTTTTGTTTTATGTATTTTTCTCACTTTATTAGTTCTTTGATAATTTTGTAAAAATGTAAATCATATTTATTCCTCTTCTCAAACTCCTCCCAGATCCAATCCCCACTCCTTTACCTACCTGTGTCCTTAAAAAACCCCAACTCATCAGATGCAATTAGTGGGTCCCATCTATTTTGGGATATGCAGCATTCCAATGGAGTATGGTGACTACCAGAGGCCACACCCTCAAAGCAAAGGGACTCTGTCTCTTCCAACAGCCATCAATTGCCATTAGCTTCTCAGCTAGGCGAGGGGCTTCTTGCCTACCTCTACACTCTGTTCTGGGATTTTTTCTGGCTTGCGTTTAACGTGTCTTATACATGTTTTCATATGCTGTGAGTTCATAGGTGCCCCTCCTCCTTTAAATATAGAGTGGCGTACACACAGAAAAGTACACAAATATGGAGTGTATAGCCACCAACCTGATACAAAGAAGATGTCAGCATCTGGACTGGTCTCCCTCAGTTCCTCACCAAGTCTGTTGTGATCAGATCTCCATAGGAAAATTTGTTGTTATTGAACTTGCTCTAACTGGCATCATGCAGTCCTGTTATTTTATGTCTGGTGGGAACCATATTTTAATGTTTTTTCCAAGTAGAAACTTGAGGAGAAGCTAGAGTTCTGGATGGAGAAATTTGATAAAGACACAGAAGCGAAGCAGAATGAGTTAAATGCTCTCAAGGCTGCCAAGGCCAGTGACCTAGCACACCTTCAAGACCTGGCAAAGATGGTAAGGGGTGGCAGGGTGACTGGGCTATGATGGGAGCTAAGGAGTCTGGGAAGAGTTCTAGTCCAAAGTAGAGTAACATGGTTCTCTGTTGATGAAGATGACCAAGTGAGTGGTTACTGCACTAGTGCTGGAATGATTCTGTTGCAAGCACACTTTTATTTTTTGAGACTGGGTCTTTGTAGTCCAGGCTACTCTGGAATTTATTATGTAGTGATCTTCCTATCTCAGCCTTCCGAATGCTGAGATCACAGAAGTGATCAGGCCGGAGACTTTTATTGAATTTTAGGTTGAAATTGTTTTCTTTTTTTGTTGTTGTTGTTGTTTTTTGTTTTTTGTTTTTTTTTGAGACAGGGTTTCTCTGTGTAGCCCTGGCTGTCCTGAAACTCACTCTGTAGACCAGGCTGGCCTCAAACTCAGAAATCCACCTTCCTCTGCCTCCCAAGTGCTGGGACTAAAGGTGTGCGCCACCACTGCCTGGGTTTTGTTTTTGGTTTTTGTTTTTTGTTTTTTTTTAGGTTGAAATTGTTTAAAACTCCTTAAGAGAGATGCTGCATTAAACAAAAGATAATTTTATGGTCCTAAAGATAATTTATAAGTGTTTATCTCTAAAAACCTGACTTCATCACTAAAGTTTAGAAGTTCCTAAAGTTCTAGTTTAAAACAAGGCTACTTGCATATATACATTATATTAAAGTTTTAAAAATATTATCTGAAGGATATCAATGTGTGTGTGTGCCTGTGTGTGTGTGACTTTTAAAACAGAATCTCATTATATTGACCAGGCTAACCTTGAGCTTGTTACAATCCTCCTGCCTCTGTCTCCTGAGTGTTATGATTACAAGTGTGTGCCACTACATCTGACTTAGTATTTCATCTTCAGTTTAAAGCTTAACCTTGAATTGTTTAAATTGAAAAAAAAGTTGAGGAACAATTATATAATGTGAATACATAGTGGGAATCCAGCAGGATTTTTTTTTTTTGTTGTTTTTTGAGACATACATTTGCTGTGTAGACGAGATTGGCTTTGAATTTTCATCTGTCTTCCCATCTTTTTCTCTGGAGTTCTGGAATTATCAGCATGTAGGGCTGGTTGGGCTGTGGCCTGACTCTGTTCCTTGTGTACCTATGCAGATCCGGGAGTATGAGCAGGTCATTATTGAGGACCGGATAGAAAAGGAGAAGACCAGGAAGAAGTTGGAGCAGGATGACCTCGAACTAAGGAGCATTGTGAAGGTAGGACAATCAGGGGTTGGAGATACAGGTGGAGGGTGGGCCGCCAGGGGTCCTGCAGTACACGGGTGAGGGTGTGCTTACAGTCTACAGTGCAGGGAAACAAAGAAAAGAGCAAGCCTGGCTCCCAATCTGGGGAGGAGGTGTGCAGTGGAAGGAATCCTCTGTTCAGACACTGGATCTGAGGTCACTCCTAACCTAAGGCGAGGTGGCTGTGTAGGCAGGGCACTTCTGAATGCCCTGCTCTCCTTGACTCTCTGGTGTAAGTCAGGCCTGGCTGTGTGATGCCGTCCAATGGAAGTTGCTTAAAAAAAAGGTGGAAGGGACAAAGCAAGTTGGAAAAAAAAATTGAAACTTAATTATATATTAAAAAATATATACATATGTATATATATGTATATATTTAAAGACAGTGTTTTTTTCCACAGTTCTGTCTGCCTTGGGCTCACTGTGTAGTCTGTAGTGCCCCTTTCTCCTCAGCCTCCTGGCTATTGCAAATTATAGCAGTCAAGCCTGGCTGAGATAGTGAACTACCTCATGAAAGTTTTCTGTGAACTTGCAAATATTAACAATGGCAGCATAATCAGTTCCAGATTCTGGAAAAATATTTTTAAGATCCAATTTTACTTTTAATTATGAATATGTCTGTGTGTCTGTCTGTGTGTGGGTATGTGCACATGAGTACAGGTGCCCACAGAGCTTGGGAGTAGAGCTGGAGTTACAGATGGTTGTGAACTTCCAGATGTGGGTGTTGGGAAACTTACTTAAGACATCTGCAAGAACAGTATGTGCTCTTAATTGCTGAGCCATCTCTCCAGCCCTCGGAAAAACATTTTAAAGCAAAAACTGCATTGCAAAGATAGTAGCTGGTTTGAAAACAAAACAAAACAAAACACCAACCAACCAACCCACCCACCCCAACCTCTGCCTGGAAGAGCATCCTTCAAGGGTCCTGGCAGGAATGGATTGAGATGTAGAGTGGGAAGCGAGTTCTGCCTGTGTAGCTCAGGCTGCCTATTAACTCCACTGCCTAAGTGCTGGAATTACAGGCGTGCACCACCACACAAGGCCATGTTCTGTTGTTTTGTGATACTGGCTATCAAGCCCAGAGCCCCTTCAACACTTTTTTTTTAGTGTGGTTATTACTAAGTCACAACTACAAGTCCAACGAGAACTTTAAAGTACTTTCAGGATCAGCTATGGAAACATCTTAGCTGGTAATGCACGGTGGAAGAGCACACCTTTAATCCTAAGGCTTGGGAGGCAGAGGCAGGTAGGTGGATCTCTGTGAGTCTGAGGTTAGCCTGGGCTACAGAGGGAGTTCCAGGACTGCTAGAGCTACACAGAGAAACCCTGTCTCAAAAAAGACAAAAACAAAAATAAAAAAAACAAACCAAAACAAAACCCAAAAACAAACCAAAAAACAAACTGGGGGAGACTTACCTTTGACTTTCCTATTAGGAAAATCTAGTGTTTAATTAGCACATGTTGATCAAGCTTCTGTTTTCCATTTGCCAAGATTCAATTCTGAGTGGAGAACTAACCAGAGACCGCTTTTGTTCTCTCCTGTGCATTCATGTACTCTCAGTAGGCTCGTCTGATTTTATAATTTAGACAAGAACAGTTGCATTAAACTGACAAAGACATTCAAGGGGCTACCTGTTCAGCAGTTCCTTAAAGATGTGCGATGCCCGTCAACCACTGAGACTTCTTGGTGCGTTCCTGACTGGGCACAGGAAACAGGCACTCCCTCCCTCTGCATCCAGTGGCTGTGAGGTGTTTACCAAGGGAGCAAGAATTACACAGACGTTGAGGCTGTAAGTCTGAAGGAAGACTTGGCCTAGTATACTTCATTTTCAGGCAGCTGTACTGACAGTCTAGCCACTTCCATGTCCCCTGTTCCTGAGTCACACGCAACTGTTGGTTCTCTCCCTGTAGAAAGTCGAGTGGTGTTGGGCACACTGAGATGAACTCCCCTGCTTCTCTCTTCCAGCTCCAGGCCTGGTGGCGAGGCACAGTGGTCCGGAAGGAAATCGGAAATTTCAAAATGCCCAAGAAAGACAAAGATGACAGCAAAGACTCGAAAGGCAAGGAGAAGGAGAAGCGGAGAGGCAAGAAGTAATGGATGTCTGCTGTTCCTTCTCAGGCCTCGATCGAGACACGTGTGATGCTGCCACAGCACCCACCACCAGGCTCACAGAGACACCTGGGGGTTCGCTCTGTTACTCTAGTTTCCAAACCCCAATGAGGGCTATCAAAGGGCTGTGGGGCCTCCTCAGACCAGACTGTGGGGGAACCATGTTGAGTAGCTTTGTGAGCATCCTTATTATTTTCTCTCACCAGAAAGCAGTTCATTAGCTTATAGTGAAGTATTAAAAACTCCTGACACATCTGATTCTGACTTCATGGCATATGATTAAAGTGAAAAACTATTGTAAGCAAAAGTGAATTATTCAGTGAGAAGTATAAGGTTATCATCACCTGGCATCATGTGCACGCACATGTAGTTAATAAACATTGGCTCTTGCCTGTCTCTCGGGGTGACCATTAGTCTAGGGTTGGTGGTGCTGGCAGACATTTAATATGCCTCTTACATAAGCTGTTCCAGTGACTTTTCTGGGGACAGATAGGGATGGAAGTAGCTGATACGAGATAGAAATGGTGTGTAGATACACAGTCCTCCAGTGGTAAATAGTGCAACATGGGTTCTCCAGAAGGCTAGTTTAGAGATTATGTTTGTCAAGAGAGACACAACTATGTCCATCATCTGGATATTAACACTTAAAGAAATGAGACACATGCAAACTTGCCCATGTGGTATACAGCAAAGCTAGTTGTTTGCAGTTCTCCCTTAAAACCAGTGAGCCCACCAGGTCATTCTTGCTTTAACTTTCAACGCTCGTGGCTCATTTGTTTCCATCTCTGCCTCCGTTTCTGTGTATGTGTGCACGATGTATGTTGGAGCACATGCAGGGTTCAAAGGACAACTCTGTAGACTCTGTTCTCCCCTTCCACCTGTGGTGGGTTCTCAGTCACAAACTCAGGGTGCCAGGCTCATTCTGGAACTCACAGTATAGACCAGATAGGCCTTGAATTCAGAGATCTGCTTGTCTCTGCCATCCTGAGTGCTGGGATTAAAACAAGCACTGCCATGCCCAGCTTGTTTCTTTAAAAACAAACAAACAAAAGTGTATGTGGGCCCAGGCATGGAAACATGTATGTATATGCATACCACAGCTTGCAGGGGGTGGGGTCAGAGGACAGGTTCTAAGAATTGTTTCCTTCTACTGTATCTCTTTGTACTATTTAGGTCCTGGATATCAAACTCATTAGGCTTAGGATATCAAAGTCATTAGGCTTGGCAGCAAGCCCCTATGCCTGCTGAACCATTTCATTGGCCCTTAACTGTTTTTCCCCCCTGAGAGAAAAGTTATCTTAATGTGTCTTACATATTTCATGTGTATGAAATTTAAGCTTTTAAACTTGTAGATACAGGATCTCACGTAGCCCAGGTTTGTTTCAAATTCACTCTGTAGTCTAGTGGTCTTGAACCTCGTGCTGTGCCTCCTAAGTTCGGGGATTGCAAGAGTGAGTAATCATACCCGGTTTATGCAGTGTTGTGAATGGAACCCAGGACTTTACACATGCTCGTAGGCACACTACTAGCTGCACTACAGCCCCAGCTTGAATTAAGCCTTCTCATCCCACTGCCAGCGCAGGCCATCTTACTATCTGTACTGCTTTAAGAAAGTGAATGTGACCCTCAAACATTCAGAGCCAGAAAGATCCGTCCTTGATTTGTCTTTGGCGAGGAAACCATGCTTGAGGCTGGAACATTTTAAAGTGTTTATTACATGCTACTGGAGTATTGGCTTTTATTTTAATGTCCACATATAAGATGACATACAGGCAATTTAAAATAACATATACAGTATTGACATATTTATACTTAGAACTTACACAAATATTTACAAACATACAAATATAGGACAATGTTTACAAAACCTTTTATTAATTACATGTTTATAACATTTCAGAAATAAAATTTGCTGTAAACCATCTCACTGCAATGTGTATACAAAAGGCTTCTAAGTAACCAAGTTTTCCTTCATTTCTACAACTATCTAAGTACTTTGTTCTTAAAAGTCCATCAGACTCATCAGCATACCATGTCATTAGTCACTGCTGACTAGAGGAGGCAAAGAAGCTCCTTCATTAGTTGCAAAGGTGTATTTACAGAGATGCTGGTTAGAAACCACCCACTGCTCTGCCTTTTCTAGTCTGTTCTAGGCAGATACAAAGGTTCCTCCTCCTGAGAGTTCGTCAGACCTGTTCATTACAGGGGAATCCTGGTCAGAGTGCCAGGCTGCCTGCAGACTGCTGACATAACATCTCTGCAGGTGGCAGGGCAGAGCCAGGCAGGCACTTGGCTTACCTTAGCATTGGCAAGGTAGCCATTTCCGGTCAGGATATAGCTTGATCTAGCAAGGTAAATATCCAAATGAATTGTCCTTTCCAGTTTGGAAACCTGTAAGAAGCCACAAAGGCCCAACAAAAAGCACTGCCTTGCTGTGTGCTGACTCACAAGAACTGCAACACGGTCTTTACTGTCCGCTAACACCGCACAACTGGATCCTTATCATTCAAAGTTGCATTAGTTTGGTAAGTACATTAAGGTCTCAGAGGAAAACCGCAGTGTTAAAATGTCCTCCTCTTCTCTCTGAAGTAAGGTCTCACTATAGAGCCCTGGCTGGCCTGGAACTCAATATGTGGACCAGATCTGCCTCCTCTGTCCCTCAAAACCTGGGATTAAAGGCATGTGCCACCAAGCTTGGCAATCTCAACTTACTCTTAGGAACTCTTGTAGCCATTCTAAGTGTTGTATTATGTAATGTCTTCTGGAACCATTTCTGTACAATTAAAATCTGGAATTTAGAAATTATGCTGAGGTTTTATGACGTCTAGAAGGAAGCATATGCAGTCCAGAAGCATAGCTGGTCATAAGCAGGCTCTGTGGCTGCTGGCTCTGTGGACTGATGATGAACGAAAGGGCTGGGCTATGAGCTCTGTTCCTATTGTTCTGTGAGGACCATGAAGGACTGGGCAGGAGCAGAGACATTCTATGTTACACTTACTTTTTCTCGAGAGCCCTAGTCGCCTGAGTTACGGGCATGAGCCCATGCCTGGCTGCTGCTTTGAAACTTGAATAAAAGTGGCAGCATTCTAATAAATACTTCTCTGCACAAACAAGGAGAAAACATTATTTTGACTAGATATTCAAAATGATTTTGTTCAAAGTCACTTTCAGAAGAAGAATATGTATTTTTAATATTCATTTTTATGTATATCAGTGTTTTACCTTCATACTATGTGTGGGCCTGGTACCTGCAGAAGCCCGTACAATACACTGGACCCTTGGAGTTACAAGCAGTTGTGAACTGACTTGTGGGTGCTGAAAATTGAACCCTGACCTGCTAGAGCAGCAAATGTTCTTACCTACTGAGCCAGCTCTCCAGCACAGTCTAATACAGCCCAGCGGGCTGTGGCTGGCTATTGCCTAGTGTGGGCTCCAAATCCTAATCCTCCAGCTTCCACTTCTGGGATGTCTGGAATCACAGACCATGTGCCTCTCTAAACCTTTTTTTAGGTGATGCTGGTGATGGAACCCCCTGGTCCAGACTCAAAGTCACTTTTAGATGCTGCACAGGGTGATACTGTTCTGAAGTGCAAGCCTTGGGAAGAAACCCACAAAAGTTAACTATAGGGAAAACCCTATAAAACAAACAGCTTTATGTAATTACTGTACTTGGGTTCTAACTGCAGCAAACACCAAAGACACAACTAACAACTAAAGAGTCCAAAATGTAAGGAAGAGAAGCCTTTGTGCTTAAATTTAAATAAAGACTCCTGCACTGTGCCAGAGTCCTTGGCCTTTTTGTTCTCTGCTCACAGTAGAGGATCTCAGGGAGGGCACAGGAGGGACCGGAAGCTGCTCTCAGTGCTTTCTTGTAGCTATGGAAACGGGCTGTCACCTACATGGATTGTAAGAAATGTCTTTCCTTCAGTCCTTTCAGCTTTGTGTTCAGTCCCAGGAGCGGGGAACTGAGTCTGCTGTGCCTGGTCCAAGAGCCTGGGATCAGCAGGCAGGCTCACCGAGGCGAAGGCAATGCTGGGTAGGACATGCCACACTTTATAGCTTACAACTGTGTGTGGAGTGTGTCTGTTCAGGAAACAGCAGGGTGAGCATGGAACCGCCCTCTAGAAAAAGATGGGGTGAAGTGGGCAAGCCTGGGGAGGGGCCTGGGTAGTGGCCTTAGATACCAGTTCTACTGTGCAGAACCTAGGGCTTCTCTATGGTTTTGCTCTCTTTGACAGAGAAGGCCAAGTCATCATCATAGCCTTTGATTTGAATGTGATTGAAAAATGCAGTAGGGGTGGTACCTTCAAACCACATAACTATGTGCATTCAACAGTGGTCTCCACTGCCTGAGAAACACAATGTCTGCTGAAAATGCAGGTTCCCAGGCCACGTCTAAACCTTTGATGCAAATCTCGATTTCACAAATGCTCCAGAGAATGAAGTCCAGTTGTGGAAACCATTGAGCTGTAGATACCTGGGAACTGGCAGAGATAATAATAATATGTCTGTCCTCTGAGAGAACTCAATATCCAGCTATGAAAATACTGGCTCTGGCGTGGGAAATGATCCTGCTACGCACGAAAAAAGCACAGCCAGCTTACTCTTCCATGATGGGTCCTCAGTAATGAAAGTTCCACTTTAAAAAAACTGTGTCTTCATTAAAAACAAAAAATAGTGGAAATGGGTTTAATCTCCCCTAAAATGGAGAAATGGAATATTCCTGGCAGGAATCATGAAGACAGTGCTTCTAGGAACACACAGGGCTCCTCTGAGCAGGCAGAGCCAGCAATCAAGTCCTCCTGCTCCTTGTCTTGGCTGTGCCAGCATGCAGGGCCCCGGGAGTCCTCAGACTGCAGAGAGCTGTGGCTGTGGCTGTGGCTTGGGTGGGGCGAGCTCCAGGAGGGCCTGGACTGTCACTGCAACCTGGCCCAACCCCTTCTCTTCTAAAATGTGCAGAGGCAGACATAACTGCTCCTGAAAGGGGACAGTGTAACATAAAACAAACAAAGAAGAAAACATGATGAACATCACAACTGAAGAACACAGGCCCTTCCACCCCCACCCCATAATAATCAAGTGAGATATGGAAAGTTCTGGTAAACCCACCCGGCTAAAGGAGGCAGACGCAGGCATGTCTCACAAAGGGGTCACTTTATTAACACAATTACAGTCCATACAGAACGTTTAGAAAGCAGAAGATGGAAAGGTGGCACACATTTACACAACAGAGAAGAGAACACTGCAGAAAGCCATACTCTGTCTCCGACAAAGGCCAGGGCAGACAAATGTACAAACAGCCAAGGGGAAGACAGGACTCACAGAGGACATTCAGGGAAGGATGCAGGCAGCAGGGACACAGCATGGTTTGTGAATGACTCTGACTGCAGGAAAGGGAGGGGAGGCCTATATCTAAGTGAGTTAAAAGTCATATTTAAAAAGAAATTGTGGCCGGGCAGTGGTGATGCACGCCTTTAATCCCAGCACTTGGGAGGCAGAAGCAGGCAGATTTCTGAGTTTGAGGCCAGCCTGGTCTACAGAGTGAGTTCCAGGACAGCCAGGACTACACAGAGAAAAAAGAAATTGTGTTTTAGCTGAGTCTGTTTGATTCTAGGACTTAGGAGGTAGAGCCAGGTAGGTCTGTGAGTTCAAAGCCAGGCAGGGCTACACGGAGAGTTTTAAAAAAAAAAAACTGTATTTGAAAAAGTAAGCACTTCATATAAAAAAAATCCAGCACAATAGATGATGCTGGAGGACTACTATGTAAGCTTACGTCTCAGTAACTGACCTATAAAAGATGACTACCATTTGGGTAAGAAGGTAGATATACTTATCTTGTTTGACTTAGTAGGGTTTGGTTACTCTGGTAAGAAAAAGGCAGATCTCAGTATAACACTTCCTGGCTTTTCTTTTTTTCATCAAATAAATACATACATACGTACTCTATTGAGACTCTCTTTCTATGTAGACTAGGCTAACCTGGAACACCCAGAGATCCTTCTGTCTTTGCCTCCCAAGTGCTAGGATTAAAGCCATGCACCACCATGCCCAGCTAAAAATTAATTTTCTGTTCTTAGTTGAGAATGGTCTTGCTGTACAGCTCAGGCTGGCCTCAGTGTGAGGGCTACAGGAGCGCTCCACTACATTCTGTACCACATTACAAAATGAACTGTAGTAAAAATATAGCAAGTATTTGTTTTTGAGGCAGTTATTGGTACTTGATTTAATTACTTTTTAATTTAATGCTTATTTTGAGAAAGTCATAGCAATCTTTTAATTTGCTAATAAGACTAGCGGTTTTGAATTAATACTTTGAGTATCTCTACAGCTACTGAGTAGCTTTGTTTAAGATGAATCTGCACTGGGCAGTGGTGGTGCACACCTTTGATCTCAGCTCTTAGGAGGCAGAAGCAGGCAGATACCTGAGTTCAAGGCCAGCCTGGTCTACAGATTGAATTCCAGGATAGCCAGGCCTACACAGAGAAACCTTGCCTCCAAAAAACTAAAAAAGAAAACAAACAAAAACCTAAACAATAACAACAAAAGGAGGAATCTGCATTTGCTTGGTGTGGGACATGTTCTCCAGGGCCAGTCCTACTGTTTGCTCCTCAGCACCCAGGCCTGAGCCCAGAGCAGGTGGTCAGTGCACAGTGTCTGACACCACTCAGAGGTGGCACTTCCCCTGGCACATCAACTCTGCGGATGGTTCCTAGGAAGCCACCACTGCTAGGCTAGACCACATGGAGCCTCTGTAGGGCTTTTTTTATTTTTGTCCTTTAAAAACAAGGTCCTGGCGTGTAGCCTAGGCTGAACTCAAACTCTAAGTAATCCTGTTTCAGCATCCTAAGGATATGGGTATCACACCTGGCTTTGAGCCCGACACACACACACACACACACACACACACCCCTACCCCCCCCCCTCTCTCTCAGTCTCTCTCTATCTCTGTGTGTGTGTGTGTGTAAAAGGACAAAACTCTACAGAACTCGACAATGGTCACGGACCTACGATGTCTTATAAACACACAAACTCACATGAGCACACCCTGGGAGGCACTGCTGTAGAGCACTATGGTCTGTCGTCACTGCATCAGCATTAGCAGTGGACAGGAAAGAACAGCTCACTTCAGATGGAAGTAAATGAGGGTAAACAGATGGCCAGTGGACTATAGTGGGGTACTGAGTTCCTGTTGTCCCCGAGTTGAGGGCAGCTTTGTTCATGGAGTTTGGAGACAGTGTCTGTGAGAACTGCCACCTGACTGCCTCAGTGTCACTCTTGGCCCAAGTTCAGACACTATTTACTAAGCATTCTAAGAGCGGACTGTAGCTTCACTGGGACCCGTGGCTCAGACAGTTTCAGATACACTTGTATAGCCTACAACACACAAACTTCACCTATAAAAATGGGTCACACATGCTAGAAATGATATGAATTCCAAACATCACATTCCAACAGGATTCTAGCAGGAGATGTGTTTTGAGCAGCAGCCATGGCACCCACGGCCAGATGGCCTCAGACACAGCCTCTGCTCAGCTGTGAGTGTGAGTGTGCGCTGTGTTAAACGGACACACTGCTCTTCATAACATGCTGCAGTGTTTTCAGGATAAGCACCTGGTGAAAGGCTCAGATGGTCTCTACTTCAAAACTGAAGTTGTATCATCATATAACAAGATGGCCAGAGTCCTCTACGGCTCAGGATTGCTTTAATAAAAAAGCCACAACCACTGCATATGAGAGACAAGGCCACGGGCAGGAGGGGAGCCAGGGACTGGAGGGAATGGGCCTCTTGGTTAGCTGTCATAGTGCCTACTATGCAACGTACTGCCTCTGTGGACACAGGAGAGACGACGCACCCTCTCAAGTTAGCAGTCTGAAAACACACGTGTGTCAGCAATTCTGTATGAGAAACAAACCGTCACCAAGCACAGGAAGGAGCTGGACGGCACTGGCTGCATGGTCAGCTATAGGTGAAGACCCGGTAATAAAGCACACAGAGAATTAACATTAAAGAACAGTAAAATGCCACAAAACCCAAAAGCTGGACAGACAAAGAGACAAAGCTGGATTCTTCTGCATGTGCTCCAAAAGAGAGCAGTGTTTCGACAGTTCTCTTAACGCTGAGGTTTAGCTGAAGGATGTCGGAAGGAGAACAGAGATTGTCCTGTCCAAATGCAAGCAGGAAAGGAAAACAGAAAAACAAAGTCAGTGCAGCAGAACGCAGACAAGTGCAGAGCTCAGAAAAACCATCAGTCACAGTCGGACACACACCCTGCGGCATTTCATTGTAAGTAAGAAAATGCTGATGAACAACCGTGGGCTAGTCTACGCACAGATGAGTTTTTACTGAGCAGCAGAAGGACCCTGCTTACAGGAAGCTAGCCATAGCCCTGAGGAGACAATGGTGAGAGCTTGCAGTGGTCTAGGCTGTGTGAGCCTGACAGTGGGAGGTGAGTGGGAGGGGCCTTGTCTCAATTCCACTCCTCCTTACCATTGAGGGAGGGAAGAGTAGGGACAAGGTGAGATGTACACTAGAGTGGGCAATCATGAAGCCAGGCAAACCAGATGTTCAAAGACCAAGCTGTGCCGTGAGGGAGGTTTACTACACAGGAATCAGGTACACTGACTCCAACCATCAGATCAAGTCCATCATCCCTAAATGTAGTTCACCAGTCACACGACAGAATGGAGGGAGTGTCTAAAGGCACCATTAGTGGACTAAATCGATATATTAACACATATAATAATTCTAGGACTCAAATACAGGTTTTTAAAAAATATAAAACATTTAATAAAAGCACAATAATAAAAGTGAATCTCCATCAACTTCCCTATCTAGAGGCTTTCTGAGTTTCCTTAGCTTTCAGTGATTCCTTCACATTTTGAGTGTGAGCTGGGAACAGACCCTAGGAAGACACTACTATTGCTACGTCCCAGCCCATTTACCTTCAGAATTCGACTCATTTTTGTGTATCATTTATCTTTCATTTTATTTTTGTCTGAAACAGGTCTATATTGCTATATTGCTATATTGTATCAAACTCGATTTGGAGCTGAAGAAGACTGTCAGCTCCGGACGCTCTGCCCCACTTTCCAGGTAGAGAGAATACTTGCTCCGCCACAGGGGACTCTGCTCACTCCACACAACACTCTGGAGTCTACCTGGGCCCCAGGCTGACACACTAACATACTGCATTCAGTTTTATAGTCCAGTTAGGGCTAGAAGGAGGTGAGACCAAGTAAGACTGAGCTACCCATCTGTGAGTTCCTTAATCCTTCACTCTGTCCAGAAAAATGACTAATTTTCAGCAGAAGTAGAAGCAGGATTAGGCCTCATGGAAACTGTCGAGACGTGAGTGGAAGGCGGGGGGAAGAAAGAAGTGGTTTCAGTGGTATCTATTTCCTCCTTCTGGCAGAGGAAATAGGAGTGGGGGTGTGGATACAAAGAACCCCAGTCTAACCACCCTGGAAAAAGGTTGGTTTTAAACTGTACTTTTTCTATCTCTGTTTCTGCCTTCGAATAGCTCAGCTCAGGTTGAAGGCTGGCTGGGCTGTAATGAGCACTCGTGAGCTCCTCTTGGAAAATGCTGCCTTAATTAAGTACATAGTTAATAAAGTACACTGTTTTGCTCATCAATAGCAGAACATTCTGAAGAACGCCAGGCTACAGCCTTTACATCTGAGACAAGATGGCTCTACAGATCCTGGTGGGCAGCTCTCATGTCTAGAAATGGTGTTGAGGCGGGCTCTCAGCAAATACTAGCAGGGGCAGAGCCAGATGCTCCTGCTTCCTATGCTTGCCATTTGCTGCACCAGTGCACGGCACACTCTGGTTCAGTCCACATGGTGTGCTGACCTAAGACAAGAAAACCTGAATGCTAACACGTGCTCACGTGGACCTTAGGCCTGTCACTGTGGAGAAAATACTGCCAGTTCCTTAGAAAATGGTAAATGGTCTCCGTATGTGTAAAATGGCTTTATAAGCTTTTATAAAGCAGTGATATAAGAATGTGTGACTGTGGGCTGGAGAGATGGCTCAGTGGTTAAGAGCACTGACTGCACTTCCAGAGGTCCTGAGTTCAAATCCCAGCAACCACATGGTGGCTCACAACCATCTGTAATGAGATCTGATGCCCTCTTCTGGTGTGTCTGAAGACAGCTACAGTGTATTCATATATAACAAATTAAAAAAAAAAAAAGAATGTGTGACTGTGTCCATAGAAATAAAGAAAAAAAGAAGCCACACCTGAGTTTAGAAAAGGGAAACTACAAACCCATAACACAGCAAACAAGAACAGATGCTCTACCTGCTAAGGCTGAAGAGCAGGTGTGGAATTCATGCTGGCTAATGTGGATGCAAGGCTGGAAGTGGCTTTCTTTTCTACTCTGACACGTGTGAAGCTGGAAGTGAAGGGTGCTCTCTGGATACATTGCTGCTCTGACATCCAGCTCTTGGCCAGTTAGAGCAGGATGGTGAACTGGGTGAGAAGTATCAGTGGGAAGCTATGAGGGTTAGGGTTAAACGAGCTCAACTTGGAGCAAAGCAGGTGCTTCTGATGGAACCTGGAACCTGAGGCCCAAGGACTGGAGGCTGTGGTTTAGTGGCACATGAGACTTGTGCTCAGCAGAGCATGCAGGAGGCACAGCTACCATCTCCAGCAAGAAAATAAAGGAAGAAAGCAGAACCTGCCACACACACACCCAGTTACTAATTCTTTACACTGTTGCTAGGCATAGTGGTGGGGATCAGTTCCACTGTTGCTAAGCATGGTGGTGGGCGTCAGTTCCACTGT